CAAAGCACATCATTGGCTAAACTAAGGTCTTCTCTTTCCAACAAAAAAACGAGAATGTTCTCTTAAAGAGACAGTGGCAAGGAAATTAACACAAAGAGCATGTTGCCAATGCCATATGGCCACACCATGCGGTAAAGGGTTAGAATTGTCCAAATTAAGTCCTTAGCAATGTATATTACTAATCAAGAATTACGTTTTGATGTTTATGGTGGGAAATTTACAAATATCTTCATGAAACATGATCTTTACTTCATATCCAAATTATTTTTGGCATGAAAGAAAAATTGATAATTTTGACCAATACAATATATGGCTGGCTATTGCTACAAATATACCTGTGCTACTTATGACTGGTTTTGTGGTCCAGGGTCACATATTAGCCTAAGTTATGTTTTTGCAAGTGTTCTCAGGCTTTTAGATCCCACTATAGCAATTCAAATAGAGAAAAAGTAGCTTCAGTATGACTACAGAGGATAGGGAATTCCAAACAACACGTCAGTTCCTTCCAAAAGCCCTTATATCCTTATGCTTTATATATCATTGTGCCCTCAGCTCAGTGACTATCACAGATTTGTTTCATACTTCAAGTGGTTTCTGAGAAGCTCTCAAGAGGGAATATTAATTAAGATTACACTAGAAATGGTGTTACTATCTGTTAATACCAAGAAAATGAAGACTTTGGGCATACAGGATGAAATGTATCTGATTTATCTGGCTTGACCTAAAAATATTCTCTGCTCTTACATTCTCTGTCACAGTCACACAACAATAACGCTGCCAGTCAGTCTCTTTCAGTCAGAGTGAGTCACAGGTTCTGAGTGCAGCGGGGTAGCGTTCCAAACCGTGCCTGTGCTTTAAGGGCCCTGACCCTGCTTTAGACCGTACAGAGAGTTCAGCTTCCAAGCCAAAATGACAATTTAATCCTCACTCTCGCAGGACACCACAGATCCTTTTTTTAGACCTGCAAGAAAGAGTTGTGTTTTTGAGATGGCGTTATAGATCTCCACATCGGGTGGAGAGAGAGTATTGACAATTCTTTCACACATTTCCCTTATGGCCCTTTTGTAGAACTCCCACAACACTGTGCTATTGATGGAGCAGCTCACTGACAGTTCATTCTCCTCTTCTCTGCTTTCAGCGCTGCCATCCTTACTCACCCTCTCTTTTTTCCACACTTCGATACTATTAGTAGGCCATGCTCCCTGAGCCTTTATCTCAGGGGAGTGCGCTCTCAGCCCTACACCCTATCACTGCACAAATAACTATTATCAGGACCGGTTTCCTGTTATGGGCCAGCTGGCTTCCATGGCATTTCATGTGAGATTTTTCTTACCATCACTGAAACTTTATAGAGCCCCAGCCCACACTGTCATATCCTGTCCTGCTGTGCTTCTAACCCAGAGTTGTGTGCTTATCTGCCAGCAGACCCATTAGAAAGCCTGGTGAAGAACTAATGAAAAACGAGAGTTCAAAATGACTGGTCAATCGGAGAGAATGAGCTAATAACTAGCTGTCAGACAGAAGGGTTCATGCAAGAGGCTGAGGTGGTGCGAGGAGTTTTAGCAGATAGACGTTTTCTTCTGAGAAAGTATGTCAGACTAACAGAGGCTATTAAATTATAAGCTTTGGGTTGAGGCCAGTCCGATGATTAAATACATTTTCATGTCATCTGCCTAATGGAAAGTGTCTGAGGAAAAAACAGCAAGATGGCATTTTAGGCGATCCAGCTGAGCTGTAGCTTTTTGGATGTTGAAGAGTGAACAACTTGACTAAGCGCTGACAGGAACTGGAAATTGGTGTTTTCTGTTTGGCTTTTCAGCAATAATTATATTGCCAGTTGTTGGTCAATGCACTTGTTTACCTTCAATAACTGTACTGAGTTTTTCACTGACACCTGTCTTGACTTTTTAACGTGCTGACACGCAAGCTCTGGTCGAGGTGGATCGTGAAGCAGCATCTTCCTCAGTAAATCTTGCAGGATTGTGCACCAATCAGAGCCTTTTGAATTTCAACTAAATTCCTTAATTTTAATAGAATTTAATATAGTAAACATGATGCAGAATTGCTATTTGTTTATATAATATAAATATAAAATTAATTTGGAATGTAAAGAAATTAATTTAAATGTAATTTAGCTTGAAAGCTGGCTTGACAAAGTGTGAAAGTTT